CCAATTGGCAGGCCATACACAAATTCGGTTTCCCCGCCCCGTGCTGGAAAACAAATGGTCAGTTCACCCTAGGGCTAGCACAGTTACCATCTTGCATACATATCTGGATGTTGCTTTAAGAGAACTGCGAACCTATCGGCCAGGAAAGAAGATAGCAGGGGACCTGCTAATCTTACTGTGCCAGCAATCCTTGAGTAAACTGATGGGGTTCAGAGAACCGCTAGGTGTATCCGTGTTCGGCGTCACTGAAATACTGTAGATAACTAGTATGTGGTTAAGTTTTTCAATGCTTATTCAGTTACAGAGATGGGACATCCAGCGGAGGGATATGGTGGCCAGCAAACGCCCAATGGCGGAGGAACTTAATAATTTTCAGCATACAAAGGTCAGGTTGTTCTACGTTTAGTCTCAGCTCAGATTTAGGCCAATATAAATGCCGGGCTCATGGATTGGCTCTCTAGTTCTAACAAAGCCCTAGGGGTCACACGATGACCCACGTGCATACCCATTGGCCAACTAGATAGGTAACCAATCAAAAAATAGGTACCCGGCGCCGTAGCGGTCATGCCTTTCACACCATCCATTTCACTCCTGTAACAATGGCAGAAGAGACATCAAAGAAGCACCCAATTCAAAAGCATGAAAAGACGTTTGAGGAACATCATCGTGGTCTGGTGACAGACTTAAAAGCCAGCACCTCACATGAAGCCGACAGCAAGCCATCAGGGCATGTTGTGTCCGTTGAAGACTTCAGTTGGGTTCGCAGTCATCCCGACTGGTTCCCTCAGCTAAACAGTTGGATCGACCAGGCCAGTAGACGTATGTCCTCTGACCTGTCTGATATGCCTCAAAACTTCTTCACTCTGCAGGTAGGCACTATTCATATCAATGTTTGAGACGGTTTTTATGTTAGTCATCTGTGCCAACTCTACACTATTACATTGCATTTTTTTCTGTTAGCCCCTTGAGGTCTCCGACATGGGCTCGGGTGATGCACCCAATGCCATGAAGTTCTTTGATCGGCACATGGATAAGCTACGTAATGAGATGGAGGAATCCATCAAGGCGATGAACGTGGGAGCAACCGATGAGGTGGCAGCCCCAAGTGATGGCCCGGCTGGCGAGCTCGGTTATTTGACAAATGCTTATGAGCCCGGCAGAGATGGTCATGTAGGTGCCCTTCTAATAGTTACATGTGTCTTCATTAAACGGCGTCTAACCAATCAACCTTGTTTTACAGCTCCACTTCAAGGTTCGTTACAATGTCCAAGACTTCCTGCCAGAGGACGTTGAGGTAACCATGAGAGGCAACTGGTTAGTTGTTCATGGAAAGAAGACGGATGACGTGGCTGATGGTGGAGTGCGTACTCGCGAATTCTGCCGTACGGTGGTTGTTCCGGAAAATGTGAACAAGGACCACTTCCATGCTTCCTTGACGTCTGTGAGTGAATGACCTACTGTGTGGAGTCTCATTTTTAGGACCCTCCT